TGCCTCTACTACGGGACGGGATCGCCGGGTGGACTGTCCAATACGAAGCTTTTCCCGAGGCCCTGTGGATGGTGCTCAGGGTGTTATTGGGCTATTTAGAAATGGACAAGTGTTGATGGGTTCGATGACAATTATACTCTGTATTTCCTAGTGGACTTTATTGTGTTGTAACTTACCACCGGATGATATAGTCATCCGTGCTGCGTCGAGTATATGATGCCCGGTTGTGAAGAAAGCCATGGTATATCACACCATTCGTTGAAGCTCCGCTGTCTATTCCAGACCTCCTCTTGCTCCATGAGTATCCCGGCTAGTGGTTTCCTCTGTGTTCGCACTATCTTGGCACAGCCAATGACGACGAAGACTAAGTCTGATATAGATTACCTGCGTTGTATAGAGCGTTAGCTCCGATTCACATCTTAACGGATCTCTGGTATAAGTCCCGCTCAAACCATCTTGATGAGGTGGACTTCTTTGCAAATAGCAAACATGTTGTCTCCTGTTTTTATAACTATGTGCTGTACGTGATCGAGTATCTTCAGGGCCAGCATAATGTCTAATGTAGGTAAACTGAAAGGCCACATACGATAGCCGGAAATAACTTACGTCAGCCTATCAAACCAAGGACATGTGAGTAATCTTGCATAGGAGATATTCAGTCCCGTTGATTTTCATCAGGGGGGCGCTAACATCTGACTGTTCACTCACTTGCCGCGCATAATATCGATTTGCCTACAATCAGGCATTCAATATATGTTGACTCCCCTTCCCACCCACGCTTGTTTTGCGAATGTCAGGCACGTGAGATGGAGCACCTCGCATTCCTTTGCTTGCTGTAGCCCTTGTGTGAAATAGCTGCATGTTACCCAGAATGGTAGCCACGACGCGTAAGATCGCATCTATTATCACGATTGTCTCGGGATGCTATGTTCTGGCCATATTCTGCGGCCATCGACTTGTCACTTCACTGCTCACACGAGTAGATGTCTCATCAGTTTCAAGTTGGACTCGTATTCTAGAAGCAGTAGAATCAGGGCGGGCATATTATTGGTTCATAATGTGTTTGCTGAGCATAGTGGACCTTGTGTTGAGCCGCTGAATCCTGAGTGGTCTCCAAGACAACTCACCGCCACACGTGAACTGTGATCGTACTGGTTCGCCCGCTTCGGTGGAGAAAGGTTCTATTGGATGTGCCCTGACATGATTCCCAGCAAGCAAATATTACTGTGCTGTGATATCGCGAATACCTAAGAATGTCGATATGCCCATCCTTTTTTTAGAATGTTGTAGTCATCGATACCCAAGTGGCGCGCTGGGAACACAAGCCAAGCTCAATTGAAATGTCAGGAACAAGTCGCAAGATACCGGTTTGAATCATTACTCTGACCGCCAGAAGCCTCCTGGACTGCTGTCATAATTATGTGGTCTCAGAATGATGTAAACGCTCTAAGAAGACAACGAATTTGCATAGTATTGTGTCCTAGCTGAATAAAGCAAATGGTGAGTCGTAGGGAATGAATGCTACTGAAATGCATTTGGCTAGAACGCGATTGGAAAGCTTGGGATCAATTGCCTATGGAAAGCAGGGTTGGATAAATTTATTCGAATAGGGGCTTACCTCAGCGTAATCGGGGACATAGGCTCTCGCTCAAGCTTATGCCCTCGCATGTATAAAATGATCAGTTCATGCTGTGGCTTGGATAAAACTCGCTTTCATCTGGCACGAAGTATTAATACATTGACAGGAATATATATAGTACGTGGCCTGGATAGTGATGTTGATCATGAGCGTTCCAGGTAAGGGGCCTCTATTGCGAAATAGGGGGCTAGGGGCTTCCGTGAGAATGGTATAGCCTGTATCGGGAGATCTATTGTATATCAATGATTTTAAGAGTGCTAACTATATTGAAATCTAATCAACCACTGACTGTCTCTTACTGCCTGTCCAATACCCTATGCGACGACCAATCGTTTTTGTCAGATCGGCTGAGAAGAAAGGAATAAGAAAAGATAAAGAGGGGGTAATTACCCGATAGTAATTATCGGGGACTCAACATTTCAAAGTTCTCGAAAATATTTTCTGTCACTCGAATGGTCACTCGGAATCTGGCGCATAATATGCTTCGACTCGGAATATATAAGTCGAAGTAGAACGCATGATAGCCATCTCATGATACCAGCCACACGCACTATACCTAATAATATAAGGGGCATGATGTTCAAACGTGGCGTAGCAATCGTACCGAGTTTCGGCCGCTAATGAGCACCACCCGATGTTAATCCTTACGGAAGGACCTCTTGGGGCTCAGCGGATAACACGTTTTCACCTTCTTTACTGCCTCTGCGACTTGATCGGATCCTCGAACTCCTACCCATGGACATGGGATTTCCGGAAGAGCATACACCATCAATATATTACGGTCGCTCCTAGGTCCTCCGGACATTTGTCGCCATTTCTGCCAAACCTTTACCCTCGATACTATCTCACCTAGATTTTACTCGTGTTGAGATTCGATTCAGTCGGATTTGCAATGGGGCTATACACTCAACTTCCCGACGACATCGAGGAGGTGGATGTTATTGTCACCGGAGGTAAGACTTACCCGCCAGAGTCATCCTATAGAGCACCAGGAAGACAGAGGAACTGACAAACGACTGTAGGCGGAACTACTGGGTGTATCGTTGCTGCGAGACTGGCCGCCGCAGACCCAAACCTATCCGTCCTGGTTATTGAGGGGGGCACCAATAATGATAATGATCCTACAATACTCCATCCAGCCTTCTGCTTTACTCATACCGCGCCAGGAAGCAAGACAGCGTTGGCTTACCAATCCAAGAGAGAAAAGCAACTTGGCGATAGGGAGTTGATTGTTCCAGCGGGTGGCGTCCTTGGCGGGGGATCGTCTATCAACATGATGGTGTACTCTCGAGGGCAGAGAATCGATTTCGATGCCTGGAAAACCCCTGGGTGGTTTGCTGATGATATAGTGCCGTATCTGAAAAAGGTATAGAGCATGCTCCCACGGAATCATGAGGCCAGTTGTTTTAGGTAGATTTGGACTAACCTTTGGCCTCATCAGTTCGAGACGTATCATGCTCCATCCATCAACGGACTCCACGGGTCTGACGGCCCGATTCATGTATCTCGCGGTGGCTACAACGCCCCCAGGGCCATGAATGAGTTCATCTTGGTCACTGAAAAGATGGGTTGGCCTGAAACGGAGGACTTACAGAACCTAGAGAGTGTCAACGCCGTACAGAGGGCCTTTCGTTACGTGTCCCCGGATGGCAAACGCCAAGATACCGCCCATGGGTACCTTCACCCACTGCTTCAGGACGGCAAGCATCCGAATCTACATGTACTTGTGGAGTCGCAGGTTCTACGTGTTACCTTCGACGGAACCAGAGCGTCGGGTGTCACATACAGGCCAAATGCCGCATTTCAGCCCACCGGTGCCAACGGGCCCAGTCGGACGGTCAAGGCGAGAAGGAGAGTCGTGGTGGCATGCGGAGCCCTGGGTACCCCGCCCCTGCTAGAGAGGTCTGGTGTTGGAGATCCAGAGGTCCTCAAGAAAGCGGGAGTTTCAGTTGTTGCGAGTGTCCCTGGTGTCGGCTACCAGTACGAGGATCACCATTTACTTCTATACTCCTATAAGATGGACTTCAGTGTGGAAGATACCCTTGACGCGTTGGCGCAAGGACGGCTCAACATAGAAGAACTGATGAAGAATAACGATAAACTTCTCGGTTGGACCGGTCAAGATCTGACCGGAAAGATTCGCCCAACCGACGCCGATGTGGCAGCGCTCGGTCCCGAATTCCAGGCGGCGTGGGATCGGGATTTCAAGAACTCTCCAACGAAGCCTCTGATGCTCCTGTCAATTATCAACGGGTATGCAAAATCCACTAGACATGATTAACAAAGAATATCTAACCTCAGCCTACTACAGGTGCCCAGCGGACCCATCCACAACTCCTCCAGGGCAGTATATTGGAATCTCGACCTTCAGCCCTTACCCCTATTCTCGGGGGCATATCCACATCACAAGCCCAGAACTAAGCGACCCCCTTGACTTTGAGACGGGGTTCTTTTCCGATGTCCACGATATCGACCTGAAGAAGCATATATGGGCATACAAGAAGCAGCGCGAAATCGTGCGACGGATGGAGTCCTACAGGGGCGAATTATCTAGTTGTCACCCCCCTTTTCCTGCCAATTCGGAGGCGGCCTGTATCGACACGGATGGCCCGTTAAGCGGGGATGTGCGCGACATCCGGTACACGGCCGAAGACGACGAGATTCTCGCGAAATGGCTTCGTGAAAACGTTAGCAGCACCTGGCACTCGCTCGGCACATGCAAAATGAAGCCGAAAGAAGAGATGGGGGTGGTGGACTCCAGCCTCAACGTCTACGGCGTGGAAAACCTCAAGATTGTCGACCTCAGTATCGTGCCGAGCAATGTCGCGGCAAACACAGGTAGTACGGCGTTGGCGATCGGTGAAAAGGCTGCAGATATCCTCATCAAGGAACTAGTCTAGGTAGCTTTGTATCTAGGGGGCTTCCGCACTGAGAAGAGATTGCGCATCTAGCACCTACTGCGGTAATGCTACACATGCCACTATACATAGTATTTCACCCAAATGAACAATTGTAACAGGAACAATTAAAAGCATTCTCATCAACGAAAAGAGTGCTCAATCACGAACAGATCCATATATCTAAAAGCTCCATAGCTGTTGTTATTGTATCCGTTGTATTTGTTCTGAATATTTAATAGCCAAACAACAATTAAAGGAATGCAGATACTTCGGTAGGGTGCAGCTAGGGTTGTATGCGATGGGTATAAGTGGGTATGGCGATGTCAGGGGTTGGGTAGTTCGAGGGGCTAGGGTTAGGGTGACATACTAGAAAAACTACTGGATCCTCCAGCAAAGTTTTCTTAAGCCAAAATAGCAACAATGAAACTCAACAGTTGATTCGACAATGTCAACAATCAATTGGCCGCTTGGCCCAATGGTAAGGCGTCTGACTACGAGCATATAACAGTTCCAAGGAGCAGTTGTATCCACGAGTAATCAGGAGATTCTGGGTTCGAGCCCCAGGGTGGTCACGTGATTCTTTTTACATCTTGATAAATTTTCATCTCTATCTTGATCTTATTTATCTATTTTCTTTTTTCCTTATCATATTCACAAGTTCTTGGAGAAAAGGTCCATCGCCATCGGAGCGGTATAGCTTTTATTTCAAAACCCCTTTTGCATACCGTATAACCTGCTCCTTGCGCTCTGGCTCAGGGAACTCGTACCTAGTGAGAGGACCAGCACTAGTGGGACTTTTGCATTTTCTACTATATGCCTCATAGTTTATTCGATCAGCTCAAACGTCAAAATAAGCCATGTATATACGCCTGTGAAGAGCAAACATCGACCCTAGTTATATCTGGACGCAGGTAACTAACGCTCGGGCGAGAGAATCACGACTTAGGCATCCCATCTGCGAGAATAGTAAACCAATGTCTAAAATAGAGGACAATTAAGGGCCAAGAGTGCGTTTAGATTAGATACCTATCTGCTTGAGCCCTTGTTAGACCAGTTCTGTATCACGTCTCCCCCAGAGCACTCGGCAGGCGATGGGCCAAAAAGATTGCACAAGGAAATAGGTGACCGAAAGCCAAGTGACATCCCACATTCCAATCCAAATCCATATGGTTTCGTGGGGTAGAAAGGTATAGTTAATGAGTGACATGCCTCTGCTTCCATCTCCCCCAATCCCCCGCCTCTGACCAAAAAGAACGTGGAACTGGTCGTGTCTTTAAGCCCTTCCAAAACCATATCCCTCGGAATGCACATTCTTTAGAATATCGAGGTAGCCAACGCAGGTGGAGCTTTAGCTCCTCTCTTCATAGTCGCGTACGGAGTCAGGATTAGACGAGTGACCACTGCGACTAGAACTTCCTCCGCTGCCGCCATTGCCTTGGCCACCACTATTGCATCATCTATAGTCAGTAACGTTCTTATTTCTTGAGGAAACCGGATCATCTCATAACCTGCGATTCCATCCACGTTGGTGAATATGGTGAGGTATGAGAGATATAATAGCAGTTCAGTTACATTAAGTACCGGAGTTATGGGCTGGATATAGTAGTCATATGTATAGAAGCTGCTTACGTGTTGGTGTTGCTGCCTTGGGATCTGCTTCCGCTACCCTGGGTTCCATGCTGGGTTCCATGTTGACTTCCTTGCTGGCCTGTACTCTGGCCACCGCTCTGGCCCCCGCCGCTTGTTCCCTTGCTATTGGCACAGCCTTTCAATGAGGGATTAGGCATCGTGAATTATAGTTTTATCCTCTTGTATATGTGTCTTGTATGCGCTGTAGGTTTTGGACGGGGAAGTCGTAGTTGTGAGGTGATGGTGTGGTCGAGATTGAAGGTGAGTTTCAACGGGAAATCTGTCTCGTTTTATAGACATGGAAGTAGTGTAGTTGGCTGACATTCAGTTCTAGTGACTCGCATAATCTGTGTAAAAATTAGCTCATTCGCGAAAGACTCATTCTTGTATCTACAGTTGGTTCTGTTTATAACGAAATTTCGCTTATATGGTCATGCCATAGGCTTCCCCTCGCTTGAAGAGGCCTACAAGTGGCTTATTTACCCTTCGACATTCCAGTAGTTGATATAACGTAACAGCAAGTTCTGGCCTTCCTCATACTCAAGATCTGTTTCGTTGTAAGAGGGTCGTACCGTGACTAAGCGAGGGTTACATGGACTCCAATCTAGCACACCCTTGATACCGATGAGCAAAGAATGTCACCTTCACTTATCATCCTTACAATGCATTCGGGTGAGCATGAATGACGTATAGAAGGTGTTAGATCAGTACGCCTCGCTTACCATGGATATGAATAGGACAACAGCAACGTTATGCCTCTCACATAGGGTAAGGGATGAATGTGCTTGGAGAAGGTGGACCCAATCCCTATTGACAGCAGTTGACCACTACTAAACCTAACCCCGAAATTCAGCAAAGAATTCATGCTACGCAGGTCACCAACTGTACCACTTGGGTATCCCATCGTGTGACTAGCCATAATATGGACAGCTTCCTAGGCCAACTCGGGCTCGATGAGACTCTCTGAGCTTAACTCATAACTGTAGATCTGAACAACCTTGAAACCGGGCGTTTCAAATATGCTTCGCCAATGGGCCTCAGTGCGCACTCTCATAGCGCCGAACACGAAGACCAGCTGATCCATCGATGTGATCGGCCACGTCAGGTTCTGACTAGGGACGGTGATCTCATTGATGAGGACCCGAAAATCCCCGCGCTTGGTCGTGGATTTCAGCTGTTCGAGGATCCGACCGGAGTCGTCATCTCCTCAGCAATGAAGTACGGAATGGACGTGGTACGTCCTTGACCGGCTGCGGCGTGAAGAAATCATGTGGCATGAACTCAAAGGCACCTTCAATACCAGTTACCGTAGAAATCACTTCAGGCAGATCTTGCAGGACGAGCTTCCCAGCAAGGCCAGGGTGCTTCTCTTTGAGTTCCAGAAGACCATGACCCATACCACCACCCACATGCACGTTAATTACCTCGCTGATACCAGGGTCAAAACCGTTGCTAAGAGGATCGGAGAAGGGGCGGAAGTCCGGATCGGCCCAGGACGGCCTCCCGGCTCGATAGGCTGACATGTAGCTGTGGAACAGTTGCAAGCACGGTGGATTCTAATCCAACCGGACGAAGAAGACTGGCCCAGTCTTGTATGCATACTGAAAATACACAGTCGTTAAAAAGGTAGGGGGTGTGTATTTGATGTTATTTAGCTACTCGGATAGGCTTTGGAAAGACGGACCAACGACGTCGTACCCCAGCATCTAATTAGCCCTGGCTGAAACATCATAAAACTATTAGACGGGACTCGAAAGGAAGGGGTAAGAGCCATAGTGACGTGGAATCTTGCGTACATATAGATGGTGCCACTCTTTAGCCCGGCACGCTTTGTTCGAGTCGTTAGTGGTATTTGGTATGCCCCTCTTTAGGGGGTCGATAGAAACTAGTCGATGCAGTAGAAAAGAATACAAGTGACATAGTCGGAAGACTTCGATAAGCTGCACGAAGCATTGAAGCCACTATAAAACTGGTGTAGTTTTTGTCCCCGCCCCCTTTATCCCTTTATCCCGTCCTGGATCACCTTTTTCTTTCCTCTCCCCCTTTCCAGGGGGGAAGGGAGAGAGGTATTCAACCCATGGCAAGTCAGGGTGGTTCCGAAGTAGGCTATGTCTTCGTACGGCAATTGCGTTAGAAGAGCAGTGTATATTTTTAGCAGGTTGACTACTAGTAAGGGAGGCTGCAAAGCCGGATTGACCTCGTAAGTTGTCAGCACCGAATGTTGCTGTCTCGGATGACGTAAAGCAGCATGGCAGACTGCGAAAAACGTAGTTGCTCGCCTCTGACAGCGTACCGCCTCCCTTTTCCTTCGCCGTTCTCCAGGAACTACCTGCCTCTGGCACATGGCTGTGTCCATCCCGATCGAATCTAAAAATCCACGCCTGGCGTATCCCGGTAGTCCTCGCCGCCGTTCCCGCGCTCTGCCGCAGCCTTAGCCGCCACATCTGCCCGGTTATTCGCCAACCGCGGCACCTTCCAGAAGGACACTTCGCAGCCGGCCTCGGCGTAGTTGCCGAGGGCCTCGGACAAGGCGAGCCAGAGGTCAATGTTGGCAACGGGCTTGGAGGAGGACCCGGAAGCGAGGAACTTGCGGGAGGCCCACTTGCGCAGCCACTCGGTGGCTCCTTTAAACACGTACCTGGAGTCGGTGGCGACGACGATGCGGTCCCAGCCCTCGCTCGCCCACTGGCGGAACTGCAGCGCTGCGATCACGGCCCGCAGCTCGGCCCTGTTGTTGGTGTGTGGGTACACCCGCCCGTCCGGCCCCCGGTTCTCGAGCGCAAAGGAGAAAATCCCCCAAGGTTCCTCGTTGAACACGAAGGCGGCGCCGCCCCGCGGTGCGCTGGGGTTTCTGTGGTTGTTGTTTGAGCATGCGCCGTCTGTGTATATCAGCATCGTCTTCGGTGATAAATGCTTGGGGGCGAAGCGGCTCCGGATGCAGAAGCGTTCGAGCACGTGCTGTTGGCTCGTGTTCACCATTTGGACGGGGAAGACGTCGTCCGGCTTTTGCGAGCCTTTGAATCGGGAGCCGGTCCAGACGCCGTTACCGCACTGGCCCATAGCGTCCTTGACACGTGCTACATCGGCCGGGATGGGTTCGGAGTGGACTGCAGGTCCGCCCTGAGACGGTATCAATTCGCCATTAGGCCCCTCCTGTTGTGTGCTGGACTGATGGACCTTGGAGGTGATTGATGGTTCCCTTTTCAACAGAGTGAAGCCGCGGCGTACATTGAGGACAATCCGAGGCTGGTCCTCATTCTCCGATTTTCCAGCAGCAGCAGCAGGAGCAGCAGCAGGTTTTTGTGGAGATGGCATCATCAAGGATCGGCTTGCGCTTAGCCATCGCTGCGAGTTTTTACCCGTACCTGAAGTTTTCAGCTGCCGGATTAAGCTTAACCCGGTCGGGCGAAGCAGGCGATCAAGACCAATGGCCATCCTATTGGATAAAAAGAAATCCTGCGAAAGTGGTAGCCGTACTGGCATGCCCGGACGGACTATCGAGGAAAGGTAGATATCTAGGTAATTAAGTAAGTATGTATTTAGAAACCAAATTTTATACGGATGGCGTTTCTAAGAAGCCGTTTCTAAGGTTGTAAGAAGGCGCTTGACGGCAAGGAGGGTGACCCCTTACTGAGCCTTGCCTATCTGAGCTTAGCTTGTTAATCTGGACGAATCACGACGTACTAACTTTGGTGGATGATACCGGTATAGGCCGTAGCTACGAACGTACGAGGGCGTGGATACGTCGTGGACGCCGTGGAAATACTCGGGCATACCTAAGTACTTACCTACTTACCTATAGTTAATTATTATGGCATCGTCTTTCCAGCGCGCTATATCCTACCCCTTCCACTCTTTCTAGTCTGGCCTATACGGAGGTAGTTGTGTTGAAAGGGCTCTGGCCAGGTTTAACCGTTCAATAGAAAGCGATGTTACAACGATA